GCCGTGTTGTGGCAGCTCCCCTCCTTGGCAGGCCCTTCCACTGTGGTGTTCTTGTCTTGGAGCCGGCTGACTATGGACTGAAACCGTCCAAAACTATGATCCAAAGTAAGCTCCTCCTCCTTGAAATTGTGGGTGTTGGATATTGTGTCCCAGAAACAAGAAGAGTATCTAATACATAGGGGAAACATTAATTGACCCTGACTGGGGAATAAATCTGAATCACTCAGTAAAGGTATACTCTAAGCTCAAAATAGCTACGTTCTCAACAGCCAGTGATTATCAGCGCAAGTAACATTCATTGAGCACTTAAACTATGCCACTGGCCATATATAGAAGGTCTAGATATAGATATATATGTCCACATATAGATTGTCTCACTTAATATCCAAAAATGTTATTTTTCCATTTAATACTAAAACTTCGACTCTTATCCTGCTCAGCATCACATAAGTAAGAAAAAGGGGAGCTGGAATCCCATGTCAGTGTGACAGTTTGACATTTCATCAACATTAAGATATTGTCACATGGAATGTCCCCATTGATAAGAGAAATCCTGGGGAAATGAATTAGGCACCAAGGGCTGAATTCAAAATTCATCCTACTGCTTCTCTTTCCTGTTTATTGATCTGGGATCACACAATCCAAACTCATGTAGCTTGAGTTGCTAAGTTCATTAGAAGCATCGTTATTCTTCCATAATGTTCTTAAAATGGACATGGAGGCAGTAACCTAATTGTATTGATTCTTGGATCCATATAGGATATCAGCAAGTGCATTGTGTGAATTCAGCTGTACAGGCAAAATAGAGAAAGGAGAAGGTCCAGCTAAATTTCAGTGATGGTAGCTGAGGTATCCTGGGGAAAGGAAGGTGGTACAGCTTGGAGCCTCAAGCTTGGAGGCCTGAGGAGAGGTTCAGAGGACCGTTGGGTAGAGGATGTAGCTAGGATGTAGGTAGCAATCAGAGACTCAAGGGGAAATGGACATGGGGGCTCTCCCCTATGAGGGACAAAAGAAAAGAATGTTCAGGGTGCTTCAAAACAATGTCTGTCGTCTTGGTAGATGAGAAAGGGAGAAATGTCCCTGTAAGGCAGTGGCTCCAGTTCACTTTGTGAGATAGTGAATACTTTGAATTGTGCTTCTGTTTTTTCATTGTTGGGACTTTTATCTCTGTACATCTGTTTGGGAGCATTTGCCAGGATTCTTCCTTAGTCATACATAATTGCCTGCCAGCATCGCACAATCTTTATCCCTAAGAATTACAAGGAATCTCTCGCTTCCTAGCATGGTCAGGTTTCCCTTCTCCCTTTTCCCTCACTCAGCCTGTCCTGTCCTCTCTTCCCTTCCTGTGTTAGTTCCCTATTACTGCAAAACAAATCCCCCAGAACATGGTGGCTGGAAGCAACCCTGCAGGGTCCTCTCTCACGGTCCTGTGCAATGACTGGGTTCAGCTAGGTGGTCCCTGTTCGAGCTCGGTCTCTCATGCAGTTGCAGGAAGATGGTGGTGTGGCTGGAATCTTCCAGAGCTCCACTGGGTTTGATATTTAAGATGGCTTCTTCATAATATGTCTGGGCCGCCACTGAAATTGTTGGGAGCTGGCCAGTCGATTATTCATTCATCCCTCCCCCTCCCCCTCCCCCTCTCACCATGCCCTCTCTGTACATTTCTCTCCATGGCTAGCTTGGCCCTTTTCACAACATGGAGGTTTCTGGGTAGCCGGCTTCCTGCATGGCAGCTGCCTCTCCTCGGGCAAGCATGGAAAGAAGTCCAAGCTGGGTGACCAGGCCTGGAAAGTCACTCATCTGCACTGTTGCCGCATTCCATTAATGCAAAGCCAACCACAGAGCCAGGCCAGGGAGGGAACCCTCCAAGGCGTGAATTTAGGGAAGTGTGGTTTATTGGGAGTGACACATCTCTCCAAAGATGAGCCACCGTATTTCTCATTGAGTGCAATTTCTGTCCCTTTCTGTACATCCTGTAACTGAAATGCCTTAAAGTTACTGCCTGGAAACTCATTTCACATCCATATGCTTTTCTAACTTGTTGTAAGAGAGACTAAAAGACCTTTTTGAACAATTCTTATGCATGGTCTCCATGAGTCTTAAAAATAGTTTCGTTTACCAACATTAAAATGAAGCATCCCAAAGGCCCTGTAGAAAACCTTTTTTTTTTTTTTTTTAAGTCTCTTTGGAAAATCAGATTTGATTCAGTTTTTAACAAACAATGATAACATATCAAACTTAAAAGGCAGATTAGTTTTAGGGAAAAGTGATACACCGCCAGTGTGGGTGTCCTGGGGTGAACTCTTCAACAATACTGCTTTTCATGCTTAGCCACTAATTAAAAAACCTGCTGTCTTGTGGGGCTGAACTCTGGTTTGCTTTTGTTTGGATTACAGGGCTTGTTCAATCGCCCACCTCCCCACATTTGAAAAAGAAAAAGAATTCCAGTCTAAATGAATTGTTGCGTAATTACATGGCAATTTAGAAATTCTTCATTTAAAATCTAAAAAAAAATCTTATTCTCTCTGCTTCTGCAAATTCTACTGAGGATTTAGGTTCTTCTAGAGAGTTACTGGATGTTGTTTTGCAGTGCTGGGGATGAAACCCAGGACCTTGGGCATGTGAGGCGAGTGCGGTACAACTGAGCTGCACCCCAAGCTGTCTCTGTGTGTGTGTGTGTGTGTGTGTGTGTGTGTGTGTGTGTGTATGCATGCGTGTGTCTTAATGCTAAATCTCCAAAGCTTTTCTTTCCTTTTTTTAAGACACTAAGTCTGCAGAACTTGTCTGTTTTTGTTTTTCCTTCCTCCCTTCCTCCCTTCCTCCCTTCCTCCCTTCCTCCCTTCCTCCCTTCCTCCCTTCCTCCCTTCCTCCCTTCCTCCCTTCCTCCCATGACACTGAGGGCTGATTTGATTTGAGGGCCTTCACACTGAGCTGTATCAAGAGGACCCCCTTTTTTTCTTATTTTGAGATAGGGTCTCACTGAGTTGCCCAGGCTTGGCTCAAACTTGTGATTCTCCTACTTCAGCCTCCCAGAGTGCTGGGTTTCAGGTGTGTGCCACCATGCTTGGCTTTCAAAGCTTTTCTTTGGAAATTGTGGAAAACAATGCATGTGGGAGGAAGTAGGAAGTTAAAGGTGACGAATAATTTGACTTTTGTTTTCTACCCACCAGCACTGGGAAAACCCTTCCTACAGGAGTAATTTTCTCCTGAGGTTTCACTGTGGTGACCACTGAGAAAAAACTAACAGGGGCCTCAGGGCAGGAGCACTTCCCAACTCTGGGGGAAAGTCCGGGGTTTGTGCTGGAACCAGAGTGCTCCTTCTCTCCTTTACGGGGACTATGAGTTAAACATCTGAGTGTTGATATCATTTCTCTCACATGGGACTTTAGATGAGCATATGAAAGCTGACTCCAGGAAGTAATAACTGGTATCTGCAATTTTCTGTACTTTGTCTTCATACAGGAAAACAATTTTATTTAAAAAACTTCATTTCTTCCTAGCTTTATTGAAGTGTAATTAACAAATGAAAATTGTATTGATTTAAAGGGTCCAGGCGGGTCTCCATATACATATATGTTATGAAATGGTTACCATCACCAAGCTAATCAATGTTTCCACTGCCTTACATGGTGGGTGATCACTTCTTTACTCTTCTATGGTGAGAAAAACTTAAGATTTACTCTTGGCAAATTTTAGGTATACGAAATAGTATTGTTAATTCACCAACGTGCTGTACATTAAATCCATAAAATGCCATCATGTGAAACTGAACCTCGCATCCTTTGACCAACTACTTCCCAAGCCCTTGGCAGCCGCCATTCCAGCTTCGCTCCTAGGAGCTGGGCTTGCCCGGAGCCCACTGGGAAGCATGTGCCACAGTGTGCTGTTTGTCTCTCTGTGCCCCGCTTGTTTCCCTCAGTGTGCCCTCCGGGACATTGTCATGGGTAGCAGGATTTCTTCTTCTTAAAGTCTGAATAGTATTGCTTTGCACACAGACACCACATATTCTTTATTCATCCATGGATGGAAGACTAGGTTGAGTTCCTGTTTGTTTTTAAAGTCTTTTAGAGTCAATTCTTTTCCAAGGGGTTTTTATTTTCCACTGTAAACCATTAGAAAATAGCATCTTCATTCTCTGGCTTGGGATACCTGCAGATTAAATGGGACTCCAGCGGCTCCCCAATACTGAGTATCTCTTCCTTTAATCTTCAGCTTCCTCTAGTAGAAGGAAGCCAGGGTGCCATTTTCTTTTTAACTTTTATTTTTATTTGTATGTTTTCAGTACATAATGATTATATTCCTTACAGGGAGTCAGTACATGTATATAACACATTTTAATTGCTTTTACATCCCCTTCCACTCCCCTAACTTCCATCTTGTGGTCCAGGGGGCCATTTTCTATGAAGCTTTACCCTAAACCCTTCAACAAAAATGTTTATTGAACAGGAAGCAAAGTTTGAAGACCTTTCGAACTTCAGGCCCAGACAAAATGTGCTGTACACACTCCTTCCTCTCCACTGCCATCTCGCCCCTACTCAAGTTCAGCTCAGGGCCACCCTTGGTTATGTCAGCTACAGATGGGGACCCATGGACGAAACAGAGGAGGGAACAGCAGCCAGGAGGAAGGGGGCTTGGAGGGAGTCATGGGAGCAGGATGGGCAGTTGGGGTTTAGTCATCATTTTGTTAAAATCATAGTTTTCCCATTTTTGCAGATGGAGAAATCCAAAGGCATGAGTCTAAATAAGTTGTGCATGTTAGTTGAACCAAGCATTTAAAACTCAAGTATTTAGAGAGCCTAAGAACTCCGTGTCATCCCTGGGTAACATGAGGGATTTTAATCTCAGACCTGGCTGGCAGTTGAGTCCACGTTCTTCTCTCTGCCTCTGGTGGCTCCATTCTGCCCTTGGTAACTGGTAAAGAAAAACGGGGGAGCTGAGGTGAGCCTGTGGCACTTAGTCAAGTAACAATAGTTGTCACTCTCTCTTGTTTAATCCTATAGTGGAGTACGACAAGGAGTTCTCCCCTCGCCAGCGACACCACAAAGAGTTCAAGTTCAACTTATCCCAGATTCCTGAGGGTGAGGCGGTGACGGCTGCTGAATTCCGCATCTACAAGGACTGTGTTGTGGGGAGTTTTAAAAACCAAACTTTTCTTATCAGCATTTATCAAGTCTTACAGGAGCATCAGCACAGGTATGAAGGCTCGAGGAAGCCCAAAATGTGGGCTGGCCCCATTTCCCGCCCTCTGTCATCACATGACCCCGCATGTGTCTGTGGAAGGTGACATGGAGCTCCAGGGCAGCCATGAATGTGACGAGATGGGTGGCTGAAAGGGCGCTGGTTAGCTGGCAAGGTCTTTTGTTTGTTGACTTTGCAAATAGTTTTCCTATGCAAGCCAGTGAGTGGTATGTACTAAGCATTTGTGATCAGACAACTCTCTAATTTACTGGGGATGAAAGTTTTCCTGCTATTGTTTGCTCCCTACTTTGAATGATGGGTGAAGGTGGCTTAAACCAATTCACAAATTAAAATTGTATCATGATGCTCATAAGTGATACTAATTCAGATGACTCTCTATGCATTCATGCGTATGATATATGCATACACATGTTTATCTTTGAGTGTGTGTGTGATGTATTTTTACCACTTGGATATAAGGGAATGCTAGATCCCCTTCCCATATATCTGTATTATTTTTCTAAAATGAGCCCAAGCCATTTTAAAAGGCTATAATAAAGTATGTTCCTGGGGCAGCTGCCTAGCAATAAAGAAATATTTGGAGGATGGGAAGGGCAAAGGGTTGGAGATTACAGCAGTTAGTTCAGATCTGCAGTATATAGAAAGAAGGCAATGAACTGTGAATTTTGGTGGCATTTAGGGTCAGCTTAGTTGTTCAGTGAGAATTGAGTACCTGATAGATTGGCACGGTAGCCGCTGGAGCCCCATTTAATCTGCGGGTAGATTGGCGTCACTGTGTAGTTCTCAGTGTGCAGAGACAGAAATTAAGTCAGTGATATGACAGTCTGAGAACTGTATGCTAGACGCAAAGATAAGAATGAAAAGAAAAGAATGGATGGAGGCGGGAACCCCACTCGTGTAGACTGAGGAATTTGTCACCTTTGGTTCTGTAAACCAAGTCCAGATTCTTGGCTTTTGGTCCTGGAAGTCTTTTGACTTCATAAAAATTTCGAGGGTTTAGGAACGACTTTGGTTTCATCTGAACCTATGGATCCGAATATGGTTCTGCCGCAAATAAACACCCTGAATCCTGAGGAACATGGATTTGGCCTATGAAAGGCTGATGACATTTCTGAAAACATCCCCAGTATGTTTCCCTTATGCAAGCTGGTCTGTAATGGGGGGAAGTAGAAGAAAGAAGGGCAGATGCCAGGCCCTGGGATGCACCATGAATAAAATACAGCTATCAAGGTATCTTTAGCATGCCCCACATTTTCAGATCAAAAGAGAAATTGATGTCTGATTTTCACTCTTAAATAAAAGTATATTCAATGGGTGATTTTCACTCTTAAATAAAAGTATATTCAATGGGTTTCCTGTAGAGAAGGCTTCTTTTGGAAAGCAAATCATTTATTGCTAGATATTTGTCTTTGGATATTTTGGAGAGAATTGGTATTCTCTCCAATACTGAATCTTTGGCAGTGCTTTAGCATTGAGTTTTCAATCTGCTGAATTATTTATTCCACTATCTTCCTCTGGTGGGAGTAATGGGAGTAACCTACTGGTACTTTTTTTGGCTCAGAAGTTTGTTTAGAATACATGTTTTTCTCTGTCCTGAGGGAAAAGCACTATAGTAAAAATATTAGACTGGAAGTTTAGTGACTATGGAGTTTTTTTTTTTTAAAAAAGGAGAGAGCCAACAGAATCTTTGAGGTTTCTACTGAACTCCAGCCAAAACAGAACAGCTGCCTGGGGCCCAAGATGGTGGCGGCATCCTTGAGGCCAGCAGTGAATTTGGAAAACAAAATCCCACATGGCCCCAGCCTCTGGTGGCTCCCTATCAAAGCAGAGAGCTGTCCTGTTTTGCTTCTAGGATGAGAGCATTTGGTGACTGGATGTGTTTTGTGCACAGGAGAAGGAAAATACTGGGAGAATTGAGGGAATTTCAAGCTTTTGAAGAGCTCCAGGATGGCCAGGAGATTTCTTTCTGTGGGCTGGGAGCCCAGGCCTCCTGCTGTCCCCAGCGTCCTTCAGAGTCCTCCAGATTTCACTGCAGGTTCCTTCTGGGGGGAAGTTTGATATCCCCATCTGTACCGTCTTGGGGTGTCTTGGCTGAGAATCTTTTTCCAAGCTTGTAAAGAAAGTTATTTGTCTAATCTGTGTTGCAGTAAAATTTGTAGCATTTGATAGATTCCTTTAATTTAACAAAGGTTTATTTTGCAAAATAGTTGGCCTCATTGAAATAGGGAGTCAGGATTTTAAATGCTGAGTAATACACTCAGCAGGCAGCAGGAGAAGTGATGCACTGGACCCCTGGTATGAAAGGCGTCACCGGAGCCAGGGAGGTGGACAATTGGACTCTGCTGTGGACCCCACAGAAACATGTTTATTTGACTGAGAAGCAGTAACCGGACCAGGTAAGTTTTTTAAAAGTAGCTACTTTAGTAGATGGTGCTTTTAGTAAGATCAGGGAAATACTTGACATTTTACTCAGAACTTGAAAATAATCCCTTAGATAGAATTTGAGTCATGGAAAGATAAGAGGCAACCCATAGGTTGGATAGAGTGAGATCAACGACTCAAGTCTACACTCAGTTCACGTAACACAGGACACCCTTTGTATTTTATTTTTCTTAAATTTGTTCCATGGTATTATATGGTGTCTACATTTTAAGATGAGTTTGGTGCACTGGGAGCGTAGTTCAGTGGTATAGCACTTGCCTAGCATGCATGAGGCCCTGGATTTAGTCCCCAGCAGTACCAAAAAAATAAAAAAGTGATTTAGTGTCAGTATTTGGTGTTATAAATCATCATATTCTTATGATGATGCTGATAAAAATTTGTACTTATAAAGAGCTAAGAGTTTGGAGAAGACCTTCTCTTATATGCTCTCATTAGGGTTTTGCTATGACCCACTGGCTAGACAGGGCAGGCATGGTACCTTTGACAGAGCCACATGTAGCACATATGAAAATGCCTAAACTGTTGGCCATGCCTCCTAATGCAGGGCCAGTCCCAAGATAAAGGTGAAGTGCCAGAAACTGGTGAGCAGTCTCCTTCTACATGTCCCTGCCCACCCCTCCATTTCTCGAGTGTGGATGCAGGAACCCAGAGGTGTTTCTTTCTGGGTGGCAAAGGAGATTGCTCCACTGGTGGTGAAAATGTGCCTGGTAGAATTCAGGCCCTGGTACTTGGACTTTCAAGGCCTTCCTATAGAAAACCTTTATTGTTCTCTTGGTTGTCTTTATTGTTCCACTGATCTATTAATAGATCTGTATCTTTTCTAGAGGAAGAGAATGAAGGGGAAAAAAGATTAGAATTAATTTACACAAAGTATTCTTTTACACAGCATTATACTTTCGTCCATTTGCTTCTTTACTGCATGCTTCTGTACACTTCACACGTGGAGTCTAGGCTGCTCTGAACACCTGTAGCCTTTCATTCATACATGGTAGCATGATGGTGCCATGTTGCTTTCCACATCTATTCATGACCTGTATTCCTGTAGTTCTTAACTGAATTTCATATATGTAGAAATCAGAGAGACTCTCTTGCAAGCTAACCAGAGATTTTAAGAGAGACCTGCTTAGTATCTGAATCATGGTCCTGTTTGGTGTATGAATTGGCCGCACCCGCTTTTACTAGTCTTGACATTTCATGTTCTACTCTATATGTTTTGGCAATTTCATTGCTTCGCAGCAGTGGGCTATCTTCTGTGTCTATGATAACTTTCTATGTTCTAACGTGGTTCTGTAGTCTTTTGGAAGATATTTAAAGTGAGAATTACCAAATTTAAAGTGAATTTCCTCCTGGTATAAGTAATATCAAAACATACTCATATTTAGAAAGAGGCAAGGATATATATACATATGTATATAGTTGTGTGCATAAATAGTATATATACACATAGGCTTTTATGTAAATTTATATAAATTGTTCATTTTTTTAAAAAGTTTGGTTCATACGTTTCATCCTAATTTCAGAATCCTTGGGATATGAATAAATACAATCAAGGAAACAAGCTAATATTGCTTTAGAGTTGGCTTTCAAAACTTTGAGAAAAAATTCCTTAGGTCAACCTAGAAGCTAAACTAATAAAGTCCCTAGGCTCAATCCCAGATTGAATTAGTGCCTTAATTTTTGAGAAAATTCACAAATTCTGATCTATTTTACAGATAGAATATAATTTCCCCAGAAGAGAAAATGACCACCAAAAGGCAAAAACATATTTTTCTAGACTTTTCAGTGTGGTATGCTGAACCATTCACAGAAATAAGGAACCTTGGAATGAGCTAGAGAAAGGTAATGAAGATGAGTGCCAGTTTGCCCTTGTTTGAGTCGTGTGTTAGGGAGTTCTCAGGAGCATTCATCTCAGCAGAATGAGCTAAATTACAGTTCTTGAGACTGTATTCATGAGACTATCAGTGAGCCACTGAAGTAGATTAGATAGCCCAGCTATGAAAGAAACCTGATTTACCCAGTACCATTCATCGAAAATACTGTTCTTTTTCCAAGTACTTCAGTGGCCCTGTCATCATAAATTAGGTGACCATATGTATGTAGGTCTGTTTCTGAGATCTTAATTTTGTTCTGTTGGTTGACTTTTCTTTTCTTGCACCAGTACTGCATTTCTTTCAGTTTTATAATGAGGATTGATATCTGTTATGTAAGCTTCTTAAATTTGTTCTTGTGACTTTCTTTTTTGGCTACTATTGGCTTTTTATAATTTCATAGAAACTTTAAAATCTGTTAGCTTCCACAAAAAGAAAAAACTTGCTGGGCTTCTGATTAGGATTTCATTAAATCTAGACATCAACTTGGAAAGAATTTATATATTAACAGTTATGAAGTGTACTATTCCAAGAATATGGTGTTTATTTAGGCCTTCTTTAATAACTCTCAAAAATATATATTTTTGGGAGGGGTTGAGCATTTTCATTGGATTACTTTTATGTTTGATGCTTTTGTAAATGATACTAGCTTTTAAAAATTTCAATATCTAATTGTTTTTTGCT